CGTTCTTCTATTGCGACTTCCGCAAGGCCGAGGCACATGACCCCACTAATATTCTAGGCTCTTTGGTCGCGCAGATATGTTCACAAACTGGAGCCAGCTACGACGAGTTAGAAGCTGCTTTTGATCATAGTCGCCATTCGAACAAACGGCCATCCATGGCCTTGCTGAGAGATATGCTATGTTTGCTTTCCGCGTCGAGAAGAATCATCTTGCTGGTCGATGCGATTGACGAATGCGTTCAGCGGAAGGAGTTATTGTCATCCTTGGCTTACCTCCAGAGCCTGGGAAAGAATATCAGCATCTTTCTTACGAGTCGGCATGAGCTCGATATCCAGGATGCACTGGCTTCATTCGAGCTCATTCAGATGGAAGGCTGGACAAGAGAGGTCGATGAACACATCAAAACGTATATCGACCACAGACTACAAACTGATCGAAGTTTGTTACGACTGAAACCGTCGGTGAGGGATGAGATTAGTGTATGTTTACATGAAAGATCTTGTGGAATGTAAGTGCCTCTTTCATGAACTTGCGTCACATGAAAATAACAATACAGGTTTCGATTGGTTCAGTGCAGCCTTGATCAAGTATCTGCGCTTCGTACCGTCCGCGATATTCGGACCACTCTCCAGCACCTCCCACAGGAGCTCGGACAGATTTACGAAAGCATATTGATGAGAGTTTCCGCCGCTGATACACCCATCGTTCGCAAAGTCCTACTCTGGCTCTCATTCACGGTGTTGCCAGTCACACTAGAAGAGCTTCACTCTGCTATCGCTATTGAACATGACTGCGAAGAGTTGGATGAAGACTCGTGCCTAAGTAGCGCAGAAGAAATAATTGCTGTTTGCGGCAGTCTGATCACAGTCTCAACGAATCGGCCAGGCCATGTCCGTCTCGCTCACCTTTCTGTGAAAGACTATCTGCTTTCAGAAGACATTCGCAACGGCCCTGCGACAGCCTTTGCACTCAACCGAACCGCAAGCTATCGCGAACTTGCTTTGGACTGCCTAACCTATCTCTCTTTCCGGAGCTTCCAGAGCGGTCCTTCAACATCTGGGGACGAATTCGCTGCACGCTTGGCAAACTACCCTTTCCTACGCCATGCGACCACATCCTGGACATACTATCTACGAGCAGCTGAAACTCCAGAGAAAGCATCAATTCAACATGACGAAAAGGTTCTTGCGTTCTTTTCTCCGTCCAATCATGAAGCGTTCATGTCCTGGATCCAAACTTTGAACGCCGGGTCTTCCTCGACTGGCAGCAGTTGGTCTTCGTATCCAAACCATGCAACCGCTTTGTACTATGCAGCATCTTTCGGGTTGCTCCACGTCTGTCAGCATATCATCCACCAAGGAGTAGACTTGAACGTCCCAGGAAGTCGATACGGAGGTACCGCGCTGCATGGAGCTGTGTGTCGTGACCAACTGTCGGTCATTCGCGCATTATTAGAAGCGGGTGCGGATGTCAACAAGTGCGATTTTGACAATGTTAGTCCACTGCATACTGCTTCAGCAGAAGGCTATGTGGACTGTGTCAAGCTGCTGCTCCATTATGGGGCGAACAAAGATGCGCTTGACAGGGGTGGAGAGAAGCCCATTGATTGGGCTAGGAATGCGGAGCAAGATGACTGTCGGGATGTACTCAATGCAAATCTTGTAGAGATTGCAGAGCCCGTAGCTGGTGCGGATGAGGCGAGGATGTGGACTGGATGGAAGGGGACGTACGTTCCTGTTTGGTCGTCGCGAGTATAATGTCTCCGCTGCGCAAAACCCTAGATAGGCCATCTCGAATCATACTTGAAGTGTCGCTTGCGAGATCATCTCTATTGGCCATTTCTTTCGGTCATGAAGCGGACGGAGAAATCGTGATATTTTGATCAATGCATATGATGCGAGAGCCTTTTGAAACGCGTCACTCAGGCTGCGTATCACATTTGGTCATAAACCACATGAAACTCCTTTTGCACCCTCACACCCCCTAGCGAGCCTGCGATGTCTTCTCTAGTCAAGCCCTCCCTAGAGCTCGATAACGATGTCGCTGCTGATCGACTCTGCTCCATATTCCTGTGTGTAGCGTCGTCCTTCCCGGAGTATACGATTGTGGATAGCTCAATGCCGTGCTGATGACGAAGAGGCTCTTCAGAGATGCTAGGCGTTCTGTTGACACTCCCGGTGAAACGGTTGCATAATGAGTTCCAAGCTTTATCGGAGGTCCGCCCCACTTTCAAGTCGTCCTGAGTGGTTTTGGCGGCGCTGCTTCTGCCCTTGGACGTCGTCCGTATATCACCCCGACTTGCTCCCATATGCGTGCTCATACCGCCGATTTGTAGATGCGAGAGGAAGGTCTGGATACGAGGTAGTGTAGCGTGATTGATCGAAAGGTGAACAACGATTTGATCCATTACGGCCCATCTCAATTGCGATCCTGGGATGTGATTAGCGATATGCTCTGATGAGAACATGGCTCCTTACGTGTTTGATCCTCTAGCTGAAGAGCTTTGTGAATGACTACCATTCGTCCAATATCCACGACGCAAATGAGTAAACGCGATCCGAACAGCCAAAATACAATGGATTTGGTATGGGCTTTCATTTGAACACCCCGGATAAGTGGAAAGATCCAGAAAGCAAGCACAGTGTCGCTTAATATGTTAAAAATCGTGATCGGATAGTACACGTTGCCATGTGTAGAGCAATTCTTCGGACTAAGTATCCAAGGTTGTGGTAGCTGGCATTGGAAGGCGATCAGAAAGAGAGAGAGTAGTGTGTAGACAGCGACCATAGGTATAAGCCATCTGGTAGCTTGAGGCCCGACTTGTTTTGGAGCGATGCGTTGGAACAGAACAACGAGCGATAGTTTAGCGAGAGCGAGAGCAATGACGCCCGAGATTTGTGCGGTCCAAAAAAGCTATAATTATATGTTTAGTAAAGTCCGCAACCCCTAATACAACTGTTTACCTTGAAGTAATGAGCCATTTGCTTGTCATCAAGCGTATCCTGGTGTCTGCCCAGGCCTGCTCGGACGCAGAAGTGAGACAGGATGGACGTGATGACACCAAAACACTGAGCTTGATTAGCAAAGTGAGTACAGGAAGTTGAGACATGAATTCGTACAAGTCCTGCACCAAACACGATGTCATCAGACTCGAGCTGATGGAACTTTTGCCGCCGCATTGCCATGCGGACAGTTGCGATGAGGATACTTGTAACTGGAAGAACGATGGAGACAATCGTGTTGATCGGGCCATGGTCTTCGGCCGTGAGTGCGGCTATGGGTTGAATAGTGCCAGCCATGATAGAGCGACGAAGTAGTGTTGGAGTTGGCACGACAGGAACGCTGACGCCTAAGATCACTCATACTAAATGTCCTTCCTCACGACCAGCTCACTGGGATTATTCGGGCGTTCATTCGTGCAGGCACGGCAGGAGCAAAATCCTTCTCGCTGATAGCCAACATAGGAGTTGGCGGGCAGTACCCTGCTCGCATAAAACAGGTGCCTATGATAAGAGAGTCGCCGCCGCTCTTAGGAGCCTCATCTCATACGTGACTATGAGGCGCAGTAGGAATGATATTGCTCAGAGCCCTCGCCGACTTCGATGATCACGTCAGAAGGACTTACAAGGGACATGGCGGTAGGCGGTGTCGCCTGCGAGATAATCCCTCGTGGCCTCATCTCTGTTCCTTCCTGTAGACTGAGTGCTAGTTGTCAGAGGTCAATTAGCCGAGGCGTAAAGTATATGGTGCTATTCAAAGCAAACTTATGGCTTGCACAAGAGTATCATGGACGGTGCAAAGGTTCTAGCAAGACCACAGATGCCCACTTACGCGGCCTACCAGGGTGGGTGTGATGGCGAAAGGCAGGTCGCATCGCGCGAGAGTGACTTGGGTGTGCATCCACAGGAACCGAGCGGATGGGAGCCCGCCGCCGCGCACGGCCTGAAGCGAGGTTGATGAGAGCAGTAGAGTACCGTCAACGTAGGAAACGATTGAACAGGTCTACAACCTACATTAACATCCATGAGTGAGAACATGCAAAGTAGGCAACCTGACTTCGATGTAGACTCCAAACCTGTTCAGGTAGACATCTTAAGTCCCTTACTATGCGAGAAGTGATGAATGAAGCTCGAGCGCGAAGCCCGGAAGGAAGGTGCAGTGATGATTGAAGCGACGGCGAAGAGCGGTTAGCGGTGATACTGCGCCAAGACCCCAATGAGGTTAAAGGCCCGGGCTAATTTCCATCAAGACCTCGGGAGGGTCAGGCCCGTGCCGTTGCTGTTCCCCCACCCGCACGGCAATGCTTCTTTTACGCCGCCTCAGATCCGAAGAAGACAAAGAGCTGCGAGCTGGAGCTACTAACGCCATTTGATAATGAGATTCTGTGTCTGTCGACAGGCGAGCTGCTGTGCCGCGCGCGCAAAGACACCAATCCTTCAAGTAGTGCTCTGCTACCTAGGCATCTCTTCCACTGCTAGAGTGCGATTGTCGAGCCTCAATAGTACCTAGGTACTATCGGCTAGCAATCTATATGTTGCTAGGAGAGAATGGGGAGGGCTGTTAAGAGGGGACCTGGAAGTAAAGAACCCTGTCAATACACATCCAAGGTAACATTCGAACGCAGCATCCACCCCAACGAACTGTTTTAGACACCTCGCGTCGATGCAGACTTGCGGCGTAGGCATCCTGAGATCCCCACTGTCTCTTTGGCGACTGGCTAGGTCTGCTCTCGGAGCTTGACTACATGAGTCAAGTTGGAATCCTGAGATACGCCCGGGCATGGGACGTAAACAGGAAGTATACTGCAGCTCGCTTCGCAGATGTCAGGATCTATGCCGCTCAACAAGAAGTCGGCTCTAATGGTCGTATGTGGTCAGCCCCAGGATAAAACCTCCGAACCCCTTGTCCAGTGAAATCCCTTACCACTCACAATGCTTCGTACTTTCACGGTTTCCCACGACCACGACGCATCTCTACGGCCCTCTCCTCGTTCCATCGATATGAACAAGGATGAGGCGCTTGTCACGACAACCGTTCCAGATTATCACGATGGACTACGGGAGAAGACGGAGAGACGCAAGGATGACACTCTCCCCTCTGGTTCCTCAAGTAGTGGCGGGTTCCAAGTAAGTCCCACCGACCCATTGCTCAAAGATTGGCCAGCTAATTTCTCTCTCAGCGCTACATAAACCAACTCGCCATCAACAACTTTGGCTTCACACTCCAAGTAGCATGGGAAGCTGTTGGCTTGTCATTCCAGCTTGCATGGCTCAATGGTGGCCCTGCCGCGCTTGTCTGGGGGTCTATGATCGCTGGCGTCGGCTCTACCCTCGTTGCTACAGCTTTGGGGGAGATGGCCTCCATGGACCCCACCGTAGGTGCACAGTACAGATGGTCGGCGCGCTTCGCTTCATTCGCTCCCGAATTCTGGGGGTTTATTCAGGGCTGGATCACAGTCATTGCCTGGATTTGCAGCTGCGCCGGTGCCTTCTCCTTCATGTCGAATACTTTATCCGGCTTGATCATCTTTAACAGCCCAAGCTACGAACCAAAGGCCTGGCACTCGACGGTGTTCCTGATCGCCTTCCTCATTGTTCCGCTGGTTCTCAACCTCTACTTGCGAAAAATCATCAACTATCTGGAAACGATCGGTGGCATTTTCCACGTTGTCTTCTTCGTTGCCATCGTTGCGACACTCTGCACGCTTGCGAAGCGCAGTACACCCGAATACGTCTTCATGACCTTGCACACAGACGCCGGTTGGGAAAATCCCGGTGTCGCATTCTCTATTGGCATGCTCGCTGTGGCATATCCCATTAGCAGTTTTGATGGTGTCCTCCACATGAGTAAGCTGCGCAACCCAACTAACTCAACCTCCAATCCCAGTGCTAACATAGTCCACAGTCGAGGAGACCAAAGAACCTCGCAAGCGGGTACCCAAAGCTATGATCTTGGCAACCTCTCTGAACGCAGTCATGATGGTCGCCTTCTGTATCTGCTTGATGTTCTGCATTGGTGATGAAGAAGCCGTCGCGAAATCGATCTTGCCGATTACGGAGGTCTTCTACTCCGCGTAAGTGCACCACCTGGGAGGTGACACAGGGTGAACACTAACATGCTGCAAAAGCACAGGGTCGAAGGCAGCATCAACGGCAATGACGGTTTTGATGGGGCTTCAACTGATGGTTGGCAACTTTAACATCGTTGCATCCGTGGCTCGATTAGTCTGGCGATTCGCATCCGACAAAGGTCTTCCTTTTCACCAGCACTTCACCTACGTGAGTCTTGACCATGCCCATGGTGATCGACTGAAACTGACAAAGCTCTAGATCCATCCGACGCTCCAAGTTCCAATACCCGCACTCTTCCTAGTTGGTTTCATCTGCTGCCTTCTATCGCTCATCAACCTCGGTTCCGCAGCCGCCTTCAATTCGCTCATATCCCTACCTACCATCGCGCTATACGTATCATACCTCGTCCCAATCTCGCTATTTACGGCTCGTCAGCTTGCCGGTAAACACCCGAAGTACGGGCCCTTTCAATTGGGCAGATGGAGCATTCCGATCAAGCTCTGCGCCATTGTCTACTTGGTATATGTCATCATCTTCGTATCGTTCCCAGCATCAAGACCGGTGACAAGCTTGACAATGAACTATGCACCGCCGATCTTAATTGGGTTTATGGTTATTGCAATGGTAGATTGGTTCGTCAGGGGTCGCAAGAAATTTGAGGTACCTACAGCTGCACTCGAACATGGAGAGGATGAGAGGCAGTAGGTATGCATGTTGGGGGCTGTATGGTGACATAGAATCAGAATTCGGCTCTGCTAGTAGGCGCAACCCGGTCTATTAGTAACGTTTGATCGATATTGATCCCTGGACGCCTTCGCAATGCCATATATCTCTCATGAGCTCTTCGCTAGCTAGCTGCACTTCATCAGCATGCCGTTCTGCAGTGGAACCCAGCTACGTTCTTACTCCTGTCTGAGCCGAAAAGACATCTCAGCCCACACGTCGGCCAAGCTGCAGCTCTAAACAAAGTAGGAGAACACCATCGCCACCAAGCCCAGAGCGAGAGCACTAGGTGCAGCTCCCGCCATAGAAGCACCAGAAGCCTCAGGAACGTTGTTCGTAGCCGCACCGCCCATGTACCACGACCCGATATCCGTCAACTCGCCGTCCTGGGTCAGCATCGCAGCGTTCGCGCCCACGTTGCTGACATCCGATCGGAAAGCGCCGAAGTAGGAGTAGTGTGTGATGTTCCTGATACAGCATTAGCCAACATTATCACTGCCAAAAGCCACATGGGACGAATACTTACGGCCAACTATCAAAGCTCTGCGCACTCATATTATAAAAACTCTGCGTCTCCTCAAGCGGCTGATTCGGGTACCCATACTCCGTAACCCACACCGTCATGTTCGGCCACATCGTCGTAACGCGTCCAATATGGCTCATCATACCCTCGAAATTGCCATACCAGTGCACAGGGATGAAGTCGGGATTACATCCGCCATCGCACTCGTTGAAGAAGTTCTCCAGCCACTGCCATCCGGACTCTGCGCCTGTGACACCTGGTGCGCCTAGCTTGATGCCGAGTTCCTTGAGGGGCTCGATTTCAGCTTTCCAGCGTGCGGCGGCGGTGGTGACGGCGAGATTGGAACCGCCGGTGCTGTGGCCGCCGTCGGGTTCGTTGAAGCCGAGGACGGCGGTTATGTTTGCTCCGTCTTTTATCTGTTGCTTCACGGAGTCGAGGAATGGGGTGCCGGTGTCGCTGTCAGAGGCGCCCCAGAGCATAGGGACGAATTGCATGTCTGGGTTATCTTTGTAGGCGGACGAGGGGTCTTTTTGGTAGTTGTAGTACCATGTTGGAGGAGAGGGACCGGTTGTCCAGATCTTGTCGTCGTCGGGGTGGTCATCGGAAGGGACGTAGACGAGACCGCGTTTTGACGATGTTGAGGCCGTGGATTGCGCTGCTGTGGAGGTTGTGCTCGTGAGCAGCACCGTTGCGGCGCTGAGAAGCGCGGTTCGTCGCATCTTTGCTGTGAGGTTTGTGTGGTGAAGTGCTCTCGGGCGTGGCGATGTATGAAATTCGACTTTTTGGGAAGTGGATCCAGATTATTCGGTACCAGCGATACGAAGATAGGTCGCGAAGGGGTCCGTTGCCAGTTGTTGCGTCGCCGTGCGATTGGGTGTCGTTATTCAGGGACACCTCAAGATACCTCTTTGCTCGTCGCAATGGGCAAAGACAATGTATATGACAGGAGGCGATCAAGTAGGTAACGAGGCAAGAGTACCTTCCAGGAAATTTCCAACTCTTCTAGCCAGCTCAGCCACGAAAAAATCCCAAAGCTGTCAGGAGAAACTTCGAAAGCGAGGTCGTTACGCAAGCCACAAAAGCGCCTTTGCAACCGGGCCAAGGCGAGACAATTAACAAGCCGGGTATCGTACACAAGTCCAGAAGTCCGGGAAGAGAGAACAGGAAACGAACGATCAGCTACACAGCGAGGACCTTTCTTCCCAAATAGATACCCGTGCGAGTCAAGAACTTGTTAGCTTCCAACGCCGTCAAACGTCACGAACTCAGGTACTTTCAGAAAAAAGATGCCTAGGTGCGCTACCAGGCTGGAGATAACAATGTAACCCCACCGGCCACTCACGCTACACCTGCACCATGGCGGTTAGCATCTATCGAAAAGAGATAAACCGGCATCTTGGGAGCCGGCTAGATTGCTGCCGCGCCGCTCAGAAAAGCGTAGTGGCGTCGTGCTAGGTAGGTTTTGGAACCTTTGGTGACGCCTGCCGTGACGCAGGTACAAGCGCCCATAAGCCCGCGCCACAAAAGGGGACAAGGCACGACCCAAAGTAAATTCTCGGGAGATCGACTTTGCCGGAGGCGTTCGGCGGGAAAAGCGTGGTTTTTAGGTGGGACGAGGGTGATGGAATAAGGATTTACATCGAGCGATCTGAGTGATCGGCAGGTACAAATCTGCGTCGGGCTGTCGAGAGTTTTCCGTCGTTCTCTTCGTTCAGATGCTACACGTCGCAGCCCAGGCAAGGTACGTCGCTAGAATGTATTGGCTCAGGGGTGGCGCATGCGAAGTGTGTCCCAACATTTTGGGGCTGCAGCGAGTGTTCAGCTGGCCCGCTGGGTAGCTCTCTGCCTGCAGGGCTTATCGGCGAAAGTTAAGATCGCACGTGCTCTGGACGATTCTAGGCCAGGTGTCGCCGAGCCGCGTGTAGTAAGTTCTCAAGACATGGCATTTTCTGGGCAGACATCACTCACAACCACGCAGAGGTACATGAAACAGTGATATAACAGTTGGGTATTGGTATTTACATCTTTCGCTACATCCTAGTTCACATTGCCGTTCCCATTCCATTTCCAACTCCCCTCACTCCATCCATTTTCCAACCTTCTTCTCCTTCACTCCACCTTGACGATATAGCAGAAAAGATAGTGGTATGTGTGCGCGAGCCCCAGGCTTACCGCTTTGCATGAGATTACAAGAGCTTGTATCAGATCTTTCTTTACACAAAAAAACTCGATGAACACAAGGAAAGATTCGTAAATACACAGACGTGGAGCGCAGGTATGGCCCGGTCCGTGTGCGGCAGATAGATGATGGTTTGACCGCTCTATGGTTTGTCAAGTGCGACCACCGCGATGCAGACATAGGAACAAAACAAATAGGAGATTATGCCTAGATGGCGAGATGTTTCGCTTCTTCAGGTCTTCACTCTTGGATGACTCAAAAGGTCGTTGGCTTAGTAGGCATAGGGGCCAGGAGGGCCTCGTGGTTGTTGAGGCTGCCATGGCGCGTTGGCCACGTAGCCGGGTGGTTGGTGGAAGCCAACATCCGCCTCGCGCCCTGGACTGCTTTCGCGACTCAAGCTCCGCTCATGCGTTGCTGTGCGACCGAATGTGGATGCATCGGCGAGCAAGTGTCCTTGATCGTCACCGAATGAACGACCACCGGGACCGTTGTATGCGGTGTTCTGATCCGCGAGAGGAACGCGGTCGTAGCCGGCGGTGCGGGGACCGAACGGCGATGGAAGGGAGGTTCGCTTGTACTCTTGGGGGTCCATGAGTAGCGAGTTGCGTGCGTCGAGAGGAGTAAGGGTGTCGAGGTCACGAGCTTTCTCTGCAGGGGCTGTTAGATGGTGTTGTCAAGCAGAAGGTGGAGAAGACTTACCAGCTGCCTTTCTCTTCTTACGGTGAGGGTTCTCCTTGCAGCAGATGATGATCGCGTTGACTGCAATGAGGATAGCAAGAACACCAGTGAGGGAAGCCTGCACAACGACAAGGACCAGACCGGTGACGGTCTTAGTGGTCTGGCTCATGCCAAGTTCTTCGACAAAGACCAAAATGCAGACGACCGACAAGACGCGAACGACCGAGATTGTAATGTTGATCCAGGTGCTAGACTTGAGCGTGTACGGACGAGCCCAGAGAAGCATGACAAGGAGAAGCGACTCGACGATGAGTTGACCGGCAGCCTGTGCGAGACCGTGGCCATCTGCTCCTGCGATAACGCAACCACGAGCGAACATGAAGATGATGGCCGGTACGAAGATCCACCAGTAGCTCTTCTTGTAGTTCTCGTAGAACATGCTGTACTTGCGCCAAATCTCCTTGTCCTCGTAAAGGGCGTCGGGCTTTCCCTCCATCTTCTTGAACTTGTCCGCAGTGCTCCAAATCTTCCAGGTGAAGAAGGCCAAAACTCCGGTGAATGCGGCCAGAGTAACACCAGCAAGTGTTTTGACAGCCCACGAGTCTCCGTTCTTGAATTGGTAGACACAGTAAAGAACCCAGATACCATAGAGCAGGAGAATCAAGTTGGTGATGGTCTTAGCCAAAGTCCACCAGTATCGCTTGCGGAAGCTAGTCAGTTTCTTCGGGAAGCTACCGAATAGTGCCCATGTTTCCAGAATAACCTTGAATAGAAGGATACCAACGGTGATTGCGGCGATGATGATGGCAAAGATGAGCAGAACCGTCATGAAGGCGTTACGGTCAGGAATAGTGTACTCCTGAATGAAGCCCTGCATGTCCTTCGCGTAGACAATGACCTTGTTGTCACCTCCCTCTTCGGCAGTATCGTTGACGTTGGTGTTCAATTCGTCGCGAGCGAACAGGACGTCAAAGCTGCGCTTGGTCAAGGTCATGTTCTGGTCCACGTGTACGAGGGTAGCGTTCTTGAGAAATTCGACACTGCTCTGGGTGAGGTTGCCGCCGGTGCTCTTACGGAAGTTGTCAATGGAGTGCTGCATTCCCTCCCAGTAGATGAGACCGGTGCTAAAGGCAAAGTTCTGGGACCAGCTGCGGTATACACCGGGGACGTCAGCGCTCATCATGCCGTTCAAAGCCAT